TAAAACTGATAAAACATATTCAAAAATCCTCGGCTGTCCACAAGAGTTTACACAATAAATGTGTTTAGTTTCGTTTCGTTTCGTTTATTTTTTTTATTCGCTAAATGGAAAAAAATTTGAAAAATTCTTTTCTAGCCGCTGGGGGGCCAGTGGCTCAAATCATAAATCTTCATGGAGTGCAAATTGAATGTATCGAGCGACCACCAGCGATAGTTGCTCCCCTGTGCCATAAATAACGAATTGGAATCATAAATCTGGTTCGGGAAAACTTTGCAAAGCTTTTTTAATTTCCAATGCAATTAAAGCGGGAAAAGGCCAGGCTCAGGCCGTGGATTCCCAATTCGAATTCGCAGTGGAAGAAAGGAACCAGTCATTTAATCAAATGCATCTGGTACTCCTCCTGGCCAAGTGGCGAAATCCTGTTAGCACCTTACTCGGCCTGCTCGACATTTTGGTGGCCGCTGCGAAATCAAATTACGATGCATGCGGCTGGTGGGGATCACAGTTCACCTGCCACCATCCGGAATTGGGGTTTCATTTCGCCTCCTCGACTAATGACATTCGAATGGCATTGGCGAATGCAGGCGGCGGGCCCAGTCAACCAAAATTTGGCAAATGACCCCATGGCAACCCAACTGTGTGGCAGGCCATATGGGTTACATAAATTATGGTAGCACGTTAATCAGTTGACCAAGTTTTAGATTAAATAACAAGCTGGTAATTTAATGAAATAAAGTACTAGGAAAATTGTTATTTAGAAGGTCTGAAGACATACTCAATTCACTTTATCTTGTCTTTTCTAATTAATATTATTATTTTAAGGTTTCTTATAATTTTTAAATTCTAAAAATTACTTGTTAAATTCCCTAAAGAACCTCTTCTGTCCAGTTAAATTCAAATTTCGAAGCTGGGGTCAGAGTTGAAGCCAAAGCCGGAGCTGGGGTCGAAGTTGACTGAGCGGAATGAAAGGTGCGGTGACAGCGTTCGTTACAGAATCATTTGCACGCCTCGCTTGGCCGCAGATTTACACTTGGTATTTTTCTGGATTTATGCCAAAGCAAAGCCAAGCAAAGCAGCCAGCCAGACTCGCCCATACGCCCATCAGCAACGTGTCTCGCCCTAATATTGTTGCTAGGTGTAAAATGCAAAGTAATGGGCTTGAATGCGCCTGCTAAGGAGGCCAACAACAAGGCAGGAAGGCAGACACAGGCAGGCGGGCAGGCAGACAGTCGAGGGGGAGTCCCTTTTCGGGCCAAAGGAGCCTGTCAAATACCCTTTAATTGGGCTTGGAATTCAACTAGTTCAGCATCTCTAGAGGTAGTTGAATATCCAGAACTTACCTGTCCTTAGTTACTGACTTAATCTGCTGACTATATCTTTACAATTAGTGCTGATGTTATCCTGCTAATTGGCCATAAATAGAGAATGTAAACGTCGTGTTCGGAGGAAGCTCATCCTCATCAGCATCGTCGTCGTCGTCGTCGTCATCCTGCTGCTATGCAAGTTTTCTGGGCCCCTGTTTCTGGTCTCTGGTTTCTGGTACCCTTTTGTCTGGCACTCAACTGAAAAGCTTTTGTCGGCGCTTGGAAATTTGACGGAAATTGTTTGGTCTGATAGATGCAGATGCAGCTGCTCCTCCTCCACGGGGACTCCTGATGATCCTGCTACTGGCTCGTTCTGTCGGCTTTGTAGCTGTGTGTACCTTTGCCTAATGGTCTCATTTCTCCCCGCATTTCCACAGTTGGTTGTGTGTCAATCCTTCAGCTAAGTAAGCAGACAGTTTTCAGCATTATGGTCAGTTGACAGGCCATAAACTGGCCCATTTTTCCAGACTCAGACCCCGATGCAACGGTGTTGTCTAACCGAATGAAAATGGCAATTTCAATAGAATTTAAACTTAATTCTTGACATTGTTGTTGCTTTTGCTAAGACGGAAAAAGAGGAAGGAGACAGCTGAGATTACGCCAAGCGAAATAAATGCAAATCGCATTAGAATAAATTTTGCTAGCTGCTTTCTGGCAGCGTGACTGCCACTGCAGCATAATGTCCTTAAAATGGCCAACCAGACGAAGCTCCTCGAGCTGCAAACTTTGGCGACGACAGGTAGCGTAGAAGATAGTCAAAGGACTCGAGGAGATGCACTCTGAAAAACTAAGTAAATAGTCATAGAAAGTCTGAAAATTAAGAAAATAATTCATGAAATGTTAGAAATTCTATAACAATTTAATCATACCAATTATTATTCGTAACTTAAAATTATTTTGTATTTTCAATTAAAATACATTTTTATTTCTTGTGTATCCATTTTCCAAAAAGAAAATCATTAGGTTGAAGGAGCAGGGACCTCTTCTCGCCCAACACAATCAAAATCAAGTTAAACGTTGAACTTTTTAATGCATAATTTATGGTCAACGCCGTTGGCCCGTTTAACTGGCGAAACAAACGGCCAAACGGACACACCAGGTTAAAGCCAAGCTCTTTTTTTTGTTGATTTTGCCTTGATATTATTTTTTATGCTCAGCGCGGAAAATCAGTTGGAACAATGAGCGTGTATCCAGCGGTAGAATGCAGATCTGTGTGGCACATCATAAATATTTATGAAACGTCTTTTGGCCAAGGCACGTACACCCAGTGGAAAGCACCTCATGTCGAATGGCCGAGCAATTTATTGGGGGATTCAACGGAAAATCATCTTTAATGCCAGCACATGCGGCACATATAAATATATATTGAGGAGAAATATTTCTTTTCAATTGATTTGTGGTGGCAAAAAATAAGGAAATACGAACATGGGCGATAAATGCGTCTAAAATAAGGTAACATTAATTTATGATGGCCACGAGGGAAAGGTAAACCTACGTGCTTAGACCCTTATGATTTGTATTTAATAATTTTGAGGGTCTTTTCTGGGAGGAAATTAAAGAAAGGGAAGCTGCTCTTATCACTGGACTCACTATCTGGACTCTCGAAATAACAATTTCGACTCTGATTGAGCAACTTATCCACCCTTAAGTTGAGATAGTTTTATTAACCAAAATCATCCCGCCATCTGTCGCTGTGCTGCCAAAACTTTCCGACTCTCTGTTTGCGTGTTTCGCTGCCACAAAGTAGAAATTGCAAGCTCGAGAATCTCCGCCCCCGATCTCCGGCGAGTCACAACTATCAATTAAACTAATTAGCTTGATTTCCCGGCAGAGTTGTGCAACCGAGGGACACGCCCAAAACTTTCGCCTGGCCGCAATGGCTTCCTTTGGCTCCTTTGGTGCGGTTTGCCTCGGTTTGGGGTTTTGGTTGGAAAATTCAATCAGCGCGTGCAGAAAAACGCAATCAAATGATTAAGTCAACAAATGAAGGCAAATTGCTGGGGCGCATCAGCTGGTGCAGCAGCAGCAGTTGGCGGACTTTTTGGGATGCTGGAAAAATCGAAGTCAGAAAGCAAAAAAGTCGCCAATGAGCTTGTTCGTAGCGAGGTCTTCCTCAAAACTTTGGTGGGCTTCCCTTCAGGGGATAGCTTTTTGTTTCCTCTTTTCCGCCCAATTTTTTTGTGACAATTCAGGTTTGGGGAAGTAGGAAGTAGAGCGCATTTTAAGCAGGTGAAAAAGCGCTGAAAAAAAACTTTGGTCTTCCTAATGAGTGTGCGGTACTTGGGCCATTGATTAAATCGAGGTTGCTGTCAGAGCTTTTTAGCGCCACCTCTTCCTGGTGTTGGCCCACAACATATTTTAGTCATTTTTATGGCCAGTTTTTCTCTCGAATTTTTGCTCCTTCTCTCTGGTCCACATTCAAATTCAATTGACTGCAGCAGCAGCTCCTCCTTCATGGCAGGGGCGTGGCACGTGCCACACATAGCCTATATATCTATATCTATGAGTGAGTGTGGAATGGATGTATGCATCATCCTTCCAGCATATTTATTCCTTCTTTTTTTTGGTGCGATTGCCTGGCAGGAAATTTATTTATATTCAATTTGTGAATTTATGCCACTTTTTTTTGCAGTCAGAGCGACAATGCCGGGGGAAATTCAGTTTGCTGCAGATGCATCTATTGGATGGGAAAGGATGCAGGCTGTGCACCAGGCGAAATATTCCTGGGGATTGCTTTTTGGGGAAAAGTCTTTGGGAAAATGTTTAAAGGCAGCTTAAGGCAGCAGGGGATGGACTTCCCTAAGAGGATCGCTAAGAAGTCTTAAAGAGAAGTCAATCTGAAGAGACATATGGAAATCGTTACTATGTTTTGGGCTTGCTTATTGTTAAACCATAGGAAAAACTTGGGATTATTTAATGCCCTATTGGGAATTTAATATTATAAAGTGATAAAACGAAAACTAAATTGAAAGAATCTAGGATTTGTATTTATAAAAGTGATTTATTTTGGAACTTGTACTGCTTAATAATTATCTAAAGGCAGGTGTTTTGATTGTTTAGTTCACTTAGTATGATATAAATATTGTAATAATAAATATAATTATAAATATTTTTTAAAAGAAACCCTCTTACTAAGAATATTATTTACAAAATACCTAGTTGTTTGCCAGGAAATTCCCTTAATGAGAAAAACTAACCATAAAATGCTCATTTTCCCCCGAGACACTCTTGGATTTAGGGAAGCCATTTTAGCCATTTCTCGCAGTGCCTCTGCAGGCTCTTCTTGAGCCTTTGTTGGCTGCTTGCTCAGACTTGCCGTTCTGTGGAAGGAAACTTAATGCTGCATTTACGTCTACTGATGCATTTACTGTCTGCTGCTGCCTGTCGATAAGGTCGATTTCGAGTGGAATATTTTCCGCAAAATCATAAACACATTTGGCCAGCAACTGATTACCTAATCTGAAGGACTAGACCTTGCCCAGCTAGGTACCATGTTACCTGGTTACTCCCAAAGGTACAGTCACAGCTTCCCAATGAAAAACAGGGGTATAGACTACCTACACGAGGAAAAGGGTACTCAGGCCTGTAGGTACAGGTAGTGAAGGGATATCTCTCTACGGAGCTATATAAGGTGATCGCTAGATGGTCATCCTTCATTCCGTCGATGTTCTTCCACAGCGATAGTCAGCCCTGAATTGTGGTCCGTTGAGAGTGTGAGTTTTGCTTCTGTGATAGCTAGACCCAGTGCCAAGTGTGCCTAGGAAGGATGTTGTTCCTGGCGCCGCGCAAACATTTGTTTGCCACCAACCTGATCATTTTGCTAATGATCTATGTGATGCGCAAGTGCCTGCAGCTATTTTGCTTCATCGAGAACCGTGGCGTTAACCCGGAGGAGGAGCAGGACAAGGAGCAGCATGAGGTTGTCAAGCAGCGTCGTCGCCGCGGCGGCTTCAAGATCATCCCCGACGCCATGCACCAGAGCATGCATGGTTTTGGCTACGGCGAGGGTCACTACCAGATCTTTGTGGAGAAGAAGGAGCGCAATCTTCCCACCAAATCTCGCCTCAACGCGGCCACAGCCGAAGTCAAGCTGAATCCCAATTAGATGATTTTCTTGACACCAAAAGGAAAACACTGACATCCCGCCGGATGTCAAGGACAATGAGCCAATAGAGCAAGCCATAAAAAATATCCTCAAAACCCAAAAGCAACCCCCATACATATCCAAGTCTTCTTCAATAGTTTTTAAAATAATAATTAATTGTACTATCTCCCTTTTTTGTAAACCACAAAAGCGCATTATTGGCCATTAATAAAAAAAACATACAAATAGCTCCGTTTTTTAAAAAAACTTTTTTTATTTTTAGTATTTATTTTAAAGAAGAGTAATATTATTCCAGCAGAAAATTTAAAATCCCTTAAGCTTGAGGAGGAGATTTTATTTTCTTTTTAAAAATCAACAGTTCATAATTGTTTTCTTTCCCTTCCTCTTTCGCTACCCATTTTATATTGATTTCTAATGTATATTTTCCCATTTTTATAAGCAAACAAAATCCTATTATAAGAAAATAATATTTTCCTTTTGCTCGATTTGATTGATTGTCCCTTTGTCGTAGGCCGTGAAAATGCCATGTGATCTGCAACTTTTCCGCTTACTTGGTTGTCCTTTCGGACTTGGACTTGCCTTCTCAAGAGGCTGAAACAGATTTCATGCCACTTGAAAAATTATCTATCTCTGATCGCGTGGGTGTTGCAGCAACATTAAATGGCGCCAAATTTATCACAAAGTAGAGCTGAACGCACATGGAGCTCTGGAAATCCTGCGGGGGAAGGAAAATGTGGTGCAGAGTGCCAGAGGCAGCGGCACCAACAATGCCAGGCAATATGCTTTCAGTAATTTGCAAATACTCTAGCCGAATAAAAGAACAAATGTTGAGGGGTATATGGGTTATTAGATTAGGATTGGGTAATTGGATTAATATGTAAAGAAACTATTATATTTAAATGAAGAAATAGCCTTTAAAGACGACTTAAATTCCCATGTGAAATCAGTCTTTTCGAATCTATATTTTTGTCAAAATATTATTATTTATACACTTAATTCTACAAATTAATTGTTTTATCTTCCAAAAATCACAAGGATTTACAGGACTTGTCTCTAGATTTTTGCTTTACACTTTGTGCTAGAGCATTTCCAGGTCGCCACTAATGCTGACCCACTTCCATTGTTCGGCATTGGCCAAGATAAGGAAGACGGAACTGGCAGAGCTCTCGGCTTGAGCGCAGCAATTGTTAGCAAATCTATCATCATCATGTTCTTAAGCACGTGTCGCTGTCCCTTTTGCGCCCTTAGCCCTGTCTCTTTTGTTCCCTATCTCTTTCTTTTCGTATCCTTATAGTTCGTAGCTCTATGTGTGTGTGTGTGTGTGTGTATGAAGAGTGTGCAACATTTTCTGCATTGCATTATAAATGAAGGGAAATTTGTAGTTGTAAGCTGCATCAGCCCTCGAGCAGCATATATATTATTCCGCCAAATCCGAATCCCTTTTCATTCTCCTACCCCCCGCTTGCGGCACATGTCGCACATTATAATCGTGATTGTTATTGCTGTAATTCTAATTCCATAACTATGTGGCTGCCATTACGCATACGCCATGTGGAGCAGCCACATCACCCATCCGCCATGGAGAACGTGCAGCGGCAGCAACAGCAGCTGTTGATGTGTAAAAATGAAATGTCAGTCGGATAAGCGCCCACAGGCATCCTGGCCATAATGAGGTGGCTCTGAGCTCCTAGAATAACCCCTCTAAGCCCAATATCTCTGGACGTTATCCCTTTTTTGCTTCATTTTGTTTTTACATATTTTTTTTTGTGCTGGCGCCCGCATAAAGCGTTAAGCTCTCATGTAAATCATGTCGCTATTGTTACTCTCATAGTTTTTGTTCGCTACTGGACTCATTATAATTAACAATTTATAAAGCGTTAATCCACACTCACACGCAAACGCTAACTCCCGTTAGTTCACAAGCACAAGTATAGCTTATACAGGAGAAAAAAATGTGAGGTAGCTTTGAAAACTTTGGGAGTAATAATAGTTTTACTAAAAAACTTCTATATAAAAGATATATACAAAAGAAATTCTTAAATAAATATTAAGTCTAATTAAATATATTTTTAAAATATATTGTTATATTTTTCTCTCAGTCTACAATATCCATTGACGGTAATTTGCCAAGGCAGCCAAAAGAGCATGTTCAGCAACAGCTCTGGCAAAATCCAGACAAACAAACAAGTCAGGGGCGCAGAGAGGAGGGACTTGGCTGAGTGTGAGTAAGCAGCATCCATTCGCTGGTAAGCAGCTTTCAGTCCTCGTCCTCCTTTTTTTTATTTTGTCCCTTTGCAACGCCCAGCCCCTTGCCCGCCCCGCCTAACTGCTTCCACTGGCACGTCGCGCGCATTAATAGGATGAGCTGCATTTTTCATGCATGTGAAGTTGAGATTGCAGCTGCTCATTTCATTTTGGCCTGGCTTTCAGCAGAAGCTTGGCATCCACGGCGTATCCCAGTGCGGCTTCATCCGCATCCGCATCCGCATAGTGGCAGCAGCGAGGAGCTTCTTGGGCGAGGAGGGGGCATCATCATCATCATCCCGCCCGCCATTCAGCGTCATTTGTATTAATTGCCCAAGCATTTTGCTCTGTGCAATGATACCAAAAATAAGAGGGGGACAGCACCGAAGTTTTCCTCTGTTTTCATTTGGCATTTTCCTTAATGCGCCACATAGCTTTCTGTTGGCTTTTCCCGCAGAAATGAGCTCTGGAGAGTTGTTAAAATGAAAATAGAATTTCGGGCACCCCAAAGTCACTGATAGTTATCGGGAAACCTTAAGCCAAAGATATATGGATACTTGATTACTATTGAAATACTATTTAATTATTATTCCCTTAGGTTTTTTAGAATTGTAAAGTAATTTCTTAAGTATTTTTAACTAGTAAAAAGTTTCCTTTAAAAATCCTTAAGAGTCGCGCTTTGTCACTTTGCACTCGCAGTTTTTCCGACGTTCAGTTTTCGAACAAACAAATTGCCAATTCAGCAGTTTGGCCAACAGTTTGACAGCCACTGGCTCAATGCGGGTTAAGCCGACAACAGACTTTTATGGACGCTCAATTAGTGGCTCAATCGAGGGGGAAAAGAGCCAGAGCCAGAGCCAGAGCCATGCGCGCGTTCGATTGAATTTTATTGAGTCTTTAATTGACGCCATGCATGTGGTTGGGATTTCAGATTGCAACTGGCCGAAACAATGGTAACTATTGCAGTGGAAATTCCAATGAAACTCGTTCGCAATGCAGGGATAATAAGGATAATTAGCCAAGCGGAGGAAACTCGGCACAGAACGAGGCATGTAAATGATTTACAAAATGACAGGAAATTGCCTACTTCCGACTCCCCATACTCCAATCCTCTGGCTGACAATTGCTTGAGGCAGTGATGATGGCGGAAAAACAAAGGAAACCATTTGAAAACCGCTCAGCACTGAATGAGGCAATTAAGCGTGGCTAATGAAGCGCCATAAAAAGGAATTCTCTGAACAATTTTAAATGCAAATAAAAAACACAAACGTATGCACACAAAATCCAAATAAAGTCCAATTGAAAATGGCAAAAAAAAAAAGAGCGCAGTCGAATAAATTTTAATCAAATTGCCAAACGAGACAAAAAGAGGTAGCGATCACCGCATAATAAATAAATATTCGATTTTAAATCAACCCAAATGAAGGACAACAATATGGAGGGAGCAACAAAGGAAAATTAAAATGGAATGAAATTATCGAGAGCCGTAAATACAATAAAAATACACAATTTTAAATGTGCACCGAATATGCATATATATTTATTATTTTAAGCGGATTTCCAAGTCGACAAATGTGTGGCCACAAAAAGACACACACAGAAACCAAAGCCCACTGGCGAGGCTTATAAATAAAGTAATTAAATTAAATAAGTCTCTGGTCACTCCCGGCATTCATCATCTGTCAATAAATGCCACAAGACATACGTGATCCTGCTCCTCCACTTGACATTAAATATTAAAAGTCAATTAAGTTGAACTAATATTGAAAATTATATTTTCCCCCTGAATCTATTTCTCTGATTTTACGGTATATTTATTTTTGGCCTTGGCTTGCTGGCTGCTTTTGACTTTTGGCTTAGTCAAGTCAATTTTCGACTGCCAGGCGCCACATTCCTTGCGAGCCATAAACAAATTTGTAGGGACAATGCGCATACGCCGTGTGGTCGGCCGAAATGTTTATTGCAAGCCACTCTATAAAGTATTGAAGGCCTATAAATTTTGGTTCCCTATAATGTAATCACATATAAACGCTTGGACACTGCCATTGAAAAGTATGCAAACAGCACACACTAGATGACACCATGCCGGCCATTTGGTTGCCAAATTTTCGGCTGGCACTGTCATGTCATGGATTTTAGCGTAACTTTCAATTCGTTTCGACTCGTTTCGTTGGATGCAAATGGAAGGATAGCGCTGGGATAGTGCGACTGCCGTGAGGATTCGTTGTGACTGCACTGACTTGGCTCCTGCCAAATGGGTCAAAGTGGCAGTCAGCCAGGCGGCCAAACCGTTTGCCAAACCCAAAATCCATAGCACACCAAAACACACACAAGTTAGGAGTGCACTCGGGGAAAATATGAGGATTTTGTATGGCTTAGTGGGATATATATAAGTTTATTTAGTTCTAACTATACTATTTTCTTCTGTCTTATAGAAAGCCTTATAAAAGCTTAGAAACCATCAAAATTATCCCTAAATATAACAAATTTTCGCTCAGTATTCTACAGCAAAGTTTGCAACAGAAAAAGCTGGTAGAAAGAGCGAAATTGTGCGCGCTAAATTTGAAATCAAACACAAAAAATGCAAGTAAATAAAGCAAGCTGTGCGACTGCGTGGAGCCAAAGGCAAATATATCCAGAAAGATGCAGGGCCACGGGGCAGCGGGGGTCGATTGTTGGCTCAAAGAACCGCACATATGAGCACACACCGAGGCGAACCGCTTGGCCAAACATTTGTCCAACTTGCTAGCATCCATTCCTGCATCCCCGGCATCCCTGCGATCCCTCTGGCTTGTAGGCACGTACAAATCCGATTTGCACAATTCAAACAGCGTGAATTTCGGTACAGAATGCATGGCGAGTTATTTGCTGATATCGCCCGCAGTCGTCACCACTCCGCATCCACGTCCGGGTACGCGTCCGCATCATCATGGTCAGTAGTCCCTCCGCTGCCCTGGGAATGTTTATATAATTTTAATTAATT